ATTGTACTTTTCCCGACTTGCGCATGACCACTGTGCATGGTTCAAGGCAACAACAACAGTAGCAGCAGCAGGGACGGTGCTGCATAGATCGCGGCACCACCGTTAAAAATAGTCGTCCGCTTTCTGTAATTGGGACACCGCAATGCTTTCTGAATTGTAACAGGACATGATAAGCACAAGAAGTGGCTAGTGGGCATACAGGGTACGAAACGCAAGTTTTTGTTTTTGGTTCAATAATTAGGATTGTTCCAATATTGTTGAATTTTTTTTTTCCAATGAACTTCATTTACAAAAGACAAGAATGCCACCGTCTGGAGCCATGCAGGGATGGAGTGAGAGGATGGTGTCGCGGTGACAATTGTGCTTCGCAGTAAAAAAGACTCTGGGTTTGATTTGCAACAGGCATCTTTCTCTGTGGAGTATGAATGTTCTCTCCCGCCTGTTCTGTATGGGGTTCCTCCAAATTCTCCAGTTTCCTCCCATTAAAAAAACTGGTTTGTTAGTTTACTAAGGACCCTGTACTCGTGACCTGCACTATTGTTCTTTTTCGTCTGAAGTGTTTTTGTTGTTGCTGCTGCACTCATGTACCAAGGACCTCCCCCTTGCAAAATAGGTGGGTGATTGTCTAAAACGGGATTATGTGTAACAAATAAAATAAACTCAAACTAAAAATACATAGAATTAACTGGTATTGGCCCAAACATCCCGATTGCCTGAAAAATTGCCTGCAAATTACCCAGTTGGGATACACAAAGCAACATTAACCCCGACTGTGAAAACTTGTCTTGAGACTCGGTGAGGCTTTGCTAGGAAGACAAACATAAGTAAAGAAATAAATGCTCAGAACACTGTGATCCACGCTCTAGATAGATTGGCCCACGTGTTTAAGACCTTTCTACGCATAACTGTGCTATGTTCATCCATGCTCAGTCAGGCATCATGCGGCAGGGTCAGTGAAAAACGTATTGTTAGTTCTTCTCGCTGTAAGCCACAACCCAAGATTGTCCTTGTAAAAAGCATCTTGCTCTGATGTTGCAATCTAACTGAACAAACCGTTGAGTCATGCAAAGTGCGGTCTTGTGACACGCATTTACATGATTACTGGCAAGGCTGGTTGGGTTAATAAAGCCACACATCAACAAAAGCCCTTGCGAATGCCGAATCACATGCAAAATCACGATGCCTTGGCATGCTGCACTGCTGCCCCTCATATTTGCTCTCAGCCCTGCTACTTTTGATTTAATAAGCATGCCAAGCCACTCTCCAGTACCAACATCGTGAACATTTTACAACTGCCTCCAATGTGGTCAGCCATCAGAAATAGCAATAATGGCAAATTATATTTTTCTATTTTAAATTTCATAAAAAAATTGCCATTGTAACAAATAAATTGTCATTGTAACAAATAAACATCTACTCCAGTTATACAAATAACATAAATTAAAATGTAATACTCATTTGAAAAGGCTCGATTAAAGCTAATAAACAAACCTTATTCAACACAGGTTATAAGTAATAAGTATTTTTAAAAAGTTTTATATATTTGAGTGATTATGTGGTAAATAACTTACAAATCAATGCTGGTGAATGAAACAGTGATATAATTGGCTATTTTATGAATTGCATGAATCTGCTCTGTATACAACATTTAGACAATATTAAAGCATCAAATGATGCTAATGTCATTTTTTATTATGATCACGTTCTGAATCTCATGCTGCAATTCCATTGCACATAATTGTCCACTTACAGAAATTAATAAATCTGCTGGATATCACAATGATTCGAGGGCACGATCACCATAGAAAGGTTGAGAGTTAAAATCCTGCTCCAGTATCAGTTGAGTATACCACCTCTCTCAGTGTCAACAAAATTATTTCGACTTTGTGGGTAGTCCATGATGGCCATCCTATGGACAGACTGGCCCTCGCCATGGGAATGTGGAACTTCCACAGAGCTGGATCAGTGACACCCCCCATTGGTAATTTGTAGAGGAAGACTTTGAATTTAATAACGTTCTAACAACAGTATTATAATACAATGCTGATATGTTCTTAAACCATTGACGTTCAGTGCAAATGGTAATGTTTCCATTATTAAATTTTAAATCAGATGTTCTGAAGTTTGTCCAGAAAACCTACAAACAGTTAGCGTTATCATAGTTCAGCTGCTACATTGGCTTACCCACCCGTGCTTTCGTAAGTAAAGTAGTCGAACAGTCGAGCACCGACTCTGCATCACGTGGTCACATGCCTGCACAGGTTCACCAAGTGCATCTTATCAGCACAGCAGATAATATGGGGAAAACGTGGCCGTATGTGCACAGCGGTGGTGGGTTCAATGAACTGCTATAACTTGCTCAAGCAGTGTGGTGCTGTTCTGCTTAACTCAACTCCCCCTGCATCACCATAGCTTTTCATCCACATATCTGGTGTAGAGTAGGGCCCATCGATCCAGGAGAACCCACAGCAATAATGCATCAAGGATAATAGTTGTGATGATGAGGTACGTTTGTTGAACTTCTTTTGCACCGTACATAGCCAACCGTGCTAATCGTAGGTTGCGGGGGAAGGACAAGAAATTCATGATGAACAAAAGACTGGACCCAAATACAGCAGATACCCCCCCCCCCCCATCAGTGCCAATTAATGCAACAGCTAAGGCAGACTGTAGAACCCAGAAAGCTAATGAAGGCAAGATCCAAGGCCTTGGGAGGAATCCAAACAATACGATCCAGCATGAGCATAATCCGTGGAGGAAAGTTGTTCTTAAACCACCCAACAGCCTTCACTGTTCCATTCTCTCAGCTCGTCTTTAGTCTCATATTTCATATCCTCGGATCATCTTTCCATCCTCTCATGCTCTTTTCAGTTGTCCTATTCCACGTGCTGCGAACCATCTGGAAAGCATGCCCGAGTGCCGTTGACTCATCACGGGAAAGAGAGCAGGCTATTTCCATTGTGCGCTATCAAGCGTTGCTGCTGCCCCCTATCAATTCCCTCTGTCTCTCACAGATCTACATTTTATCTTGACAATTACACTGCTTATCCCTTGTCTATCTACAGACAATATCATCCTACATTTTCCACAGTGGCTGGGTGATTCGATAGCAGGCACTGAACAAAATCATTTGTGGATTTTGGTTGAAGTCTTCTGCAGACATTGATCAACTACCATATGTCATTAGCAAGTGAATGGTTCTGGGATATAATTAATGTTAGATAAATGGCCAAGGTGACACGATGGCGCAGTGGTTAGCACACCTTGCTACGAGACTGGTCTCATGAGTTCGATTCCCAGCTGCAGCTAACATATCTGGGTACCCCTTATTTCACCGACCCGCACTGATCAGTGTAGTAAAAAAAACCCTCATGGCTGGCACGACGTGGCAACGCTGTACATTTCAAAAAATATATCGGTGAAAGACAGTTCAAAATAAGAATATCTCCTCACAATTAAACTTACAATTGTTCATCTTTAAAAATAAAATCATCATCATCATCAGCGTGAGAGAAAAAACCAACACCTCTTTCCAGAGCTTAAAAATCCATTCCCATGCGGTAACTGACAAAAGCCAAAGAATAAGCCACCGAGAAGAGTCTCTCTCAATGTCTTCCAGCGAGGGGGTGTGCTGCGAGTGAGCATTTCAATGGCGGGGTTTATCACTTGCATCAAACCGGGTCTTCCGACGGGGCCATTCCTCTCAAAAGTCAAGCCAGCAGTAGATTAGCAAGAATTAAAGAGAGGGACGGGGTGGCGTGAGGTCTCGTGTCCTGCCCTTGTGTCTCCCGCCCCGCGTTGCGCGGCACAAGGATGTTGTATGCGAGCTGATGGCGGTGACACGGAAACGCGACACCAATCAGCTGAGGGGGGGCCTCGCGTGGGATTACACGCAGGGCTACGGGGAGTCGAGGTGAAAAGGGGGGGCTGATAAACATAGTTAAGAGTAGCGGCAGCGATAAAATAACCCCCCCACCCCCGCAGAATGTCTAGTTAAGTGCCGCTAAATGTAGAGGGGCCATTCAACCTGTGGATAGCAGCACATTCCAGGTGACCTGCGAATGTGTTGAACTAAGTGAGAGTTCAAAAACAAGTTTTTTATGCGAATGCATAAGGTGTGTATGTACATGTGAACGTACAGCAATTTCTTCAATATACTGCTGAACGATGGGTTCCTCATACTGAAATATCGAAGCACTATCCAGGCTCACCCCTGCTTGGCTTGCGATATCCGTTGAGATCCGGTGCATTTTGGGTAGCTTGGTCATAGGTGAGATATTTAGGTATATTACTTACATCTGTAAAGAGCTTCGGCAAAAAAAGTGCATTTCCTCGTAGCAGTCAAGAAACTTGGTTGTGTGATGTGTAACTGGTACCTATGATTTTTATTGCGCTGGTCCTAAATTTATAGATTATGCTACGAATGATAGATTCTGTCCTCAATCATGTATTCTTGGCAATGAGGATGGAACACCCTAAATTCTAATAATGAGGACTCTTTCAAGCGGTGATATGAATGGACTTGGCAGAGGGAAAGACATACTGTTTATCTTGCAAAGACGGGACTATCTTTATATGTGTGTGCGCTTGCAATTGTGGGGGACGGAGAACAAAGGCATAACAGACTGCGCTATGAACCCACATACCCGAGTTCAATTCCTGGCCATGGCAGAGTAATATTTGAACAGGTCCTGGGGCCTCAAATTCGACTGACTGTAGCCTTTAATTGGTATACTTAGTTGGGTGTGTGTGTAGGCATCAGGAAGGGGGGAGACGAAAAGTGGCCATGCATGGTGCTGGTCACACCACAACTTCATGAGCAGTTCTGGCCTCACCAAAGTATAATGCTCACTCGCTTGCCACACTGCACCCTTGTTTGGTGCCATGGCAGCCGCAACATTCTCTCGAGCAACATACGGTCTTTTTGAACCGGGTGCTCGCAAACATCACTTATTGGAGATTGTCTTAATTGTGGCCACACACGTCAATCCAATGATTACCTGAGGGGCTTCATCAACGATGCGCACGGAGTCGGAGTCGAACAGATGCTGCCGGCCACGGCGATCGCAGTCCTGGTAAATCACGAGCCGGATCTGGCTCCCATCAAATTCGCACGTGGGCCATCTGCTCGGCACAAGCATAAGAAAGCACATGATGAAAACACGTCATCATCATCATCAACCAGCAGCAGCACTACAAAAATTACTCCTTCCCAGCATTATTCCCCATTCACGTGGCGGGGGGAGGGGGGGGAATCTGCCTTTCCTGGTTTTCTCATCTACCCATTCCTGTCCTTGGCCCTCTTCTCCAAGACCACTCCACAGTCCTGGTTTACAATTGACTATTCTACAGCGATTCATCCCATAGTAGTCACCCACCAGCTCCACACGCAGACACGTGCGAATTAAAATGGAAAAGCTAATGGCAAAACGTACACTCAAATTATAAAACATGCCAAGACAACAAAAATGAGCGCTCAACAGTTTTGTTAGTTTGGTTTAACTTGCACTCGTACCCCAAACCTAATTGCAGCTCTCAATGGAACAATATCACGCAGGGTGGGTAATACTGGTTCACATTTATTTATGAGAAAATACAACAGTTTACGTGCAGTTCATCAACACTAAAAAAACACGATGGAAGACAAGTTTACTGAACAAAGTACCACGGAGTCGCACAAGGTTATCAACGCTAGCAAGTCACACGCCAAGCACCCTTGAGTTTTACAAGGTGAAACCGATACCGAGATGTGAGGGCCCGTATTAATTTTATGACGGGCGGCGGGGGAACTCATGTGACCACAGGTTCGCACCCGGGGTTTTTTCCCACCACGTTCATCAAACCCAAAACTGGTCGCAATCGATGCACCCTCTAAAAATCCCAAACACTTTCGTGGCGCTAATACCCGAACCCCGACTCCGAAAAGCGACCAGTTAAACAACCCTCCGTTCAGTCCGGCGTCATAAAAAGAGCGTAGATTTATGTTGAAATGAACGGAGTGTCGATGGCCACTATAAGGAAACTTTTGTTTCATCCTTAAACAAACCAGGGACTTGTGTTGTTTAACCTTCCTGTAATCATCTCAACAATTCAGGGCACATCGCAGACACCCGTGAAATACGAATCTTGCAAGGTGACAATGACACGTAAATATGTATTAGGACAACGCCTGATGGGTATTATAAACCAAAATGAGTTCAGGAGCTGCAAACTCTACCTCGTTTTAGAGGAAGCGTTTCTCAAATTTATCATTTAACTATCCTGACAGATGCATATAGTGTACAATTATTACTTACATCACACTGACATAAGGAAATGAAAAGACAAGGGTCTATTAACTACACACAAATAAATTCACATTTCAATCCATCAGCCGATGGGCCACCTACCAACATGCTAACCAATGTACTCATGCTGTACCAACACACCATCTGCACAAACTTAAAGCCCATTCTAAAACACATTTTAGAATGTTAACATGATGATGAGACGGAACCTTGTCTTCGCTTCATGCCAACAATCCACTAAAAAAGTACACGATACATTTCGTCTAATAAACACTTAAATCGCATACTCTTTGGTTCTTTCGGTAAAGTCACGTAGGTACAAAATAAACATTTATTTTATTTTGTACCTACGTGACTTTACCGAAAGAACCAAAGAGTATGGATCCCTGCAGTCACGAAAACTTAAAATCTAGACTTAAATTGCAATCTAATGTTCAATGAAAAAGGAAGATGAGGGCAAGAGCTAGATGAAAGTTGTCCCAAATAACTGATGATTATTGACAGCCTAACCTACACAACAATGTTTGATTTAATCAGCATGCTAATTCACAACCCAGCTTGTAATGAATAGAACACCACACATTATTGCATTCAACACAGATATAAATTGTTTCACAAGTCCAGAAGCTTAAACCTGGGTATTCTTCAAAGTAGCTTAATTCAGTGCCTGACAATTTCGCAAGCATAATCACTCTGGCCAACTGCATCAGCCTACACATTGCTGGTGATACATTCACCATGAGGCTGGGACGCAACAACGATGTAAAAGGAGCACCGAATAACAATAATAATTCACGGGCCCTTCAAGAGTAGTGATGAACAATAAAGCGTAGGGAAACACTGCTGCTTTTACACACGAAACACTCTTGCTCGGGTTAATGTTCCACTACGGCCAGGTTTAAAAGTTAACAATGCAGCAGCAGCAGCCTTCGAAAATAAAAGCATTTAGTCAACAACGATAAAAATTCTTACCGATTAGACAGTCGGGGAGGCCGGGTCACGTCACTGCCACACGGGCACATTTCTCCCGCTTTCAAAGTCGTTTCCCATTTAGTGGAGCACAGACACATCTCCTGATGAACGGCACGAGCGAGAGGAACTGCGCAGTGCCTACGAGCGAGGAGCAGGCGAACGAGGGAGCAAACGAGCGCGCTGGCTTACGTGCGTGTGCGCGCGTGTGCACACAGCACATTCTGTGCCGTGACGCCGCTTGTCGATTGCGGAGTCATTCGCATGCAGGGTCACAGGGCCAGCGCATGCGCTTGGAAAGCCTCCCCCACGAGAGGCAGGGAGGGAGCTGGGGGTGGAACCAGAAAGAAAAGAACGAGCTAATTATAGCCTGTGCACACCAACGCAGGCAGGCTTGGCAGCACAGGGCTGTCATATGACCGAGGGGCGGGGAGACGCAAGGGGAGGGGTGGAGGTATCCTGGGCCCGGTGTGATAGGAGGGAGCTCAACATCAGTCGGGGGTTAAGGAATGAGGGAGGCGCTACGCAGAAAGAAGGGGTAGGGGGGGGCAGGGGGAAACCAGCAGGGAGGTCACCGAGTGGGAGGGAGATGATGGGATCCAGAGAATATTAAATGGGTTCATCAGTCTCGCTCAGGGGTTGACAACCTGCAGCTCCGGTGCCTCGTGCAGCTCTAAAGACTGCTTCGTGACCTTATTGATTAAGGACCACCGTCTTTGTATTCACATTGCATTGCGGCTCTTGAAATAGTTTTTTTCCCCGAATTGGAACAAAAAAATGCTGTCCTCATCTTTTTATTTTGGTTGCCGACCAGTGGTCAAGCTAACATGAATACAACGCCGCTGCGTTACACACTGCCGTCATAATGTGAAGCGGTTTACCCAGGAAAGGCTCAAGTCTCAAGACCCTTTAACTGGAGGCTCCTGCTTGGAATGTTTGGACAATACTCATTGAAATATTTGTACATGTGGGTGAAAACTGTTGAGACTGATCTTTGCAGACACAATCTGGCAGCCTCCTTCCTGTACATGCTCCAAAATGCTCCTATATTCTCTGCATGAGTCACCAACCAACCCTCCCATCATGCCTCTTGATTAAAGCGGTTTACCACCATACTTGGAAGAAATAATATTCATCTGTACATTATCTCTAACAAGCACGTTTGGTTGAAATTATGTATAGTACCACGTTTTATTTTTTTCCCCATTCAGACGTAAAATTCATGAAAACTCATGGAATATTTTGGTCACGCCATTAGCAGAGAAACTGACAATATCCAAAGTTCACACCACTCACCGAGTAAGCAAGCCGCGTCTAAACACTACACTCAGTCTAAGTGCCTGCTCACATATACTTGGTAAATAAGAGCGAGTGTGAGCGTATTACAGGATCACAAGGCAGCTCAGACTTTAACACGTGGCTAAAGAAAACTCGCACATGTGCACCACTGGTAGCCCTAAACTACTGTGAATTTGAAGATGCTTTACATGTCCACAATTGATGTGAACAGGCTACTTATTTCTAGGACTACAAGTCCGCAGAGCAAAATAATTTTGGGACGGCATTCTTCAGCGATTTTTGCCCAGCGGCAGAGTCATTTGCACTCGATGCGCTTGCGTGTTCATTTATCCGTACGCAGGTATGAACGCGTCATCTCCACAACCACTTGGCTGATGAGCGTCTTTGCGGTAGACAATGAGGCCTAATTGTAACTACTGTAAAGCTTCACCCCTTCTAAGACGCCGTAATCCACATCGTCAGCACAGAGAAGTGGAAGGGAAATTAATTGTTAGACTGTACTCCGGCATCTATGCCGCCCACCTTCGACAACCAGCACTCACCAGCGTGACGTAAAACCAAATAACCCCCACGACCCGCATGGCGCAGGGAGGCCCTCATCCAGCAATGGCTTGACGCGTACAAAGCGACCATTCGCGCATGTCACTTCCACAAAACATGGCCAAGTTCATAGCCGTATAATTAGTAAGCAAGTACACTAATTTCTTAGAAGTGGCAACCCACATATAGCCGGAAAGGCATGTGAAACCTTTCTGGGCTCTCTACTGGGAGTAACCGATGTCAGCTGCCTGAACACCCACGTGTTCATTGTTGACAATTCTAACCCATCCCCTAATTGAGTGCCATGCAATAAGGTGACACTCTCTGTACACGTCGATTTGTAAACAGCAAAGCTCGGAATGAATGGATACGAGAGGGCTGTATTATTACTGGTATTACGAGGCAATTTATGCTGCAATTTGGGTCAAGTTAATATACGAATAAATACATCGAATAGGTCGCCCGCAGTTCTGTGTTTGCTGATGTTTTAACACAGGACTTGGACTAAAAGGTGGTAACTAAATCTGGAGGTTGGTACACTTACTGCCGAGTTTGAGTGCAAGTAACACCATAGGACATAACCGAAGCATTGCCTGTTATGTATTGTGGGTTATATATGAGCCAAAGCACATTTATCGTGCCATATAAAGATTTTAATTAAACATGAGAGTACGTGCGAGTACGTTCATATATAAATACAGCTATTTTCACATTTGTGCCATGATGTACATATGGAAGCTCTGTTCCGGCAATGTGAAACGGATGACTGTATTCATATGTTTACAACCCCGAAGCGCACCACCAAAGCACGCGCCAAAATAGAACGTCTCCATGACTTGCTGCATTGTCAAAGTCACGTTGTCGTGATCAACATTCTTTCGCAGTGCTGCATTTGTGCGTTGGCCGCGTCACGCGCCTAACCCCCCCCCCCTTTCCCCGGGGGTTAATCTGCCTTGGTCTACCCCTCCCCACTGCCAGGACTGCCAGGGGAGGGGGTGGTGGCGGCGGCTGTGACGTTATACTGTCCCACTCTGCCTGCTTTGTTTACCTTTAAAACAGAGGCGGATAGGAAGCAAACGTGGAATCAGCGAAGGGCCAATTTTCCATAGGTGACCAAAAATCCTTGAAGGAAAACAGGTGAGGCGGTCGTGATGCAAATCGGTGGGTGATGCAGTCGCCAACACTGTGAGCTCGAGTGACAGGATACATTTCAGTGAAATAAAAACACAACGGACTGGCTTAGTAGTGCTGCATGAGCACACAAAATAGCTCATCACATTAATCACGAGTTTGCTATCTTACTCGCCATTCGTCATTAAAAACACTCGCACATAATTTGTAAATGTAGACCATTGTGGTGTCTGTGACCACATCACCCTGAATACACCCAATTCCAGAACACGAAGAAAGCTAAGCAGGTTTGAGCCTGGATAGTTCTTGGATGGACAACCACCCCCAGCACAAGCACAAGCGTAGTTGGCATTGTTGAGCAGTCGAGGGCAGTGCCGCTAAATCCATTGTAGTACTGTTCGAACCCCTACCTTCTCAGACCTGCATGGATCAGCGTGGGGTGAAAAAAAAAATCCTCACCGTCTGCATGGTGTGGGGGTAGCCCTCCTCCCGAAGTAGACTAATAAATGATCTGTACAATGTACCTGTATATGCAGCTCACTGTGTGCTTCAATATAAAGTAACAAAACTAGCCACGACTATCATTAACACTGTCTTATAGGAGAACTATAAGATTTCTACTCTAGTTTGGCTTCCAGCCATCACCCCCTTTTTTGTAAAAAAAATGCTACCCCTTCTTTAGAGAAGGGTCATTGCCCCAAATAGTATATTATCGTTGCAAAGCAGTGTTAAATGCTGAGGATGCTGATGTGTTTTTACTCGCTTTTTTTAGCTCGTTTCCTTGTTGGGCAGCTTTTGGTGACCGATTTCCTGCATCCACAAAGCAAAGGGGCTTACTCTCATGTCGTCTCAGGCCGTGTCCCACACATGCTGAACAGCAAGCAAACAAAGTGGCCGGGGTCGGAATGACCGTACTCGGAAAGCCACTGTGACATCCCGTTTTGTAGCAGGCCCGGGGTGAAGTGCACATCGAAGCAAGCGCGCACTTCTTGGTTGTGACCAAAGGGTGTGTTTTTTTAAGAGTAGGGATAATTTAGGTTACATTATGTATGTATGTGGATCTTCTTTCGCACCGTACATAGCCAACCGTGCCAATCGGATGTGCGTGCTAATTATAACGTGGAGAGAAGCAAATACACGTGCACTGACGGTGTAGGTGGTGAGGCTCTTGGGCCTGAATCTCTGCTACATCCTGGCCAAAGCAATGGTGACGAGAGATAAAGGGAGTTTCGCTATTTAAATCTTGAGCGAAGAAGCACCTGAAAGCTCAAAATGAATATTGCAAAAGGCATTCAAAGACCAGATTAAGGTACCACGGGGATACCTGCAAAGGAAACAGAGGCCTTAATCATCTCACAGCCTTCAACAGACACTTGAGTCGAGCCGAAACACTGGGGAAACCCATTGACCTCAGTGTGAAAGGAAGAAAAGGCCATCGACTCTTATCCAGGAACGTTTGCCAAATTCTTCCACTGCAAATTAATTTGGTGAAAACTCACCAAATGCGTATTACAGACCTTACATGTCAACCTTCTTATCCCCTTTCAACAGGATGTCCCAGACCCGTGCTTAAGAGTCCAACCTGGGGTTGAACACATTGCTCCACATTTCCAGGTCGCTAGAGTTTTGGTACCAGAACCTCCTCTGGCAGAGCAATTTGGGAGATGCTAATGTGTTCTTGATGTTGTGAGAAAAATAAGGAAGCTTTTCTGACGGGACTACCCAGGCCTTAAGCAATACAGCTTGGCATTTAAGCCTGTTCATTTTATTATTTTGCAACAAAAGTTGCTAGAGCACATGGGGGAATCAAATGGAAAACAATGCCCTCCAAAAGTTTACAATGTACTGCTCCTCTGCGTATGGAAACCTATACATCATTACACTAACTGCATTGCATACACTTGGCAAGTTTTCTATGGAAAACCTGGGCAGGGGGGGCTTGGTCACTGGATTGGAATCATTGCCACAATACCCTGGGGCAAATGCAGGACAAGTGGTAAAAGTTTAGCGAAGTGGCTAATTGGCTCAACACGATCACTCCACATACAAGTGAGTCTGCAAAGTAGAAATCCTCGGAGACCTGATATGCAGAGAAACACATCAAATCACACTGCTCCATCGCTGCAAGTAAAATTGGTATTTGGAAATTATGACATATACCAAGAGTTAAATGGCAATTACAAGCGATATCTTCACGCTAAGTGTGTTTACACGTACATGGAGACTTTTCAATTAACGAACCAGCTAGTTTGAACACAACAGCTATTCTTACTTGTAGCTGATTAAAGCCTATCGAATTCCTTGTAAAACACGCTCATTTAAGTGTGATCACAGCCCCGCATTCTGTTACAGAAGAC